GATAAAAACCCGCAACTTCAGCACGAGAAAATATTTTGCGTTTCTAGTCTGTGCATGCACACAAGTTTTTTAATGCAAATGTCACTCCATATTACGTAGATTAAAAATAGGCTATTTTATAAGATTTGAAACATATCTGTTGTTTTAATATCTCATATCCAAAGTCTTTATACAAAATCAGTGCACTTTTATTACTTAAGAATGGAAAAAAGTACAACGTGATGATATGACGAATAGTCCCGCCTTCTGAATAGAAGAGCCAATTGATCATTGTCACTGTTAGAAGCTCCGGTTGCTATAGAAACAGCGTTCTGAGAGGCGCACTTTGGTTTTTTGATGCTATTTGAGCATAAGAAACAACACTTATGAGACGGTTGTTGTAAATATGAAATTTAATTGTAAAGTTGGTGAACAGTTCTGGAAAATTTGATGAAGGGACTTTGCTACACTCTAAAAAACACTGGGTTTAAAAACAACCCAATTTGGATAGTTTTTAACCCAAGGGCTGGGTAAATATAGGACAGAACACACTTGGGGTTAATTTTACCCAACAAATTGGGTTGTTTATTTAACCCAGCATACTGGGTTGGATTAACCCAGCTAATGGGTTTATTCATTTATACTATAATACTCGCTTATTTTTTTACTTCATACATGAAATAATGTTTACAGATTAACTTAAATCCTCTAAACTTTAGTAAAATATTCCACACAACCACTGGTTTGCATAACTTCTAATAATAATACATTTTTGATTTATATCATTTACAGCATTTTTATATCGTTTTTAATATGTAAGCAATACATATTGCCTATTTAAACTTGTTTAATAAACCTTAGAAGTAAAAAATGAAGCATTAAACAGAAGTAATTCACGTGTAATTGACGGGTCTCTGTTATTCTGTTTCCACCGTAACACGCTGGTTCTCGTGCCCGAGCTGAGTCGTGTTCGGCCCAAAAAACAAACAGTAAACAGCTCTGAGGAAATAATTTAACATCCAAAGTATTTGTATTCTGTATCTTTATGAATAAAA